AAGGGTATTTGTAAGAAAAATACGATATCTTTGAATTCATCTATTGTATGGATGAGTGTGTTAGTCCGAAACATCTGTCTCTATTCCAGCCTCTCATGGGTATTTTGACAGTTGTCGGGTGCACATCCGACAGTAACAGCGGACAGTAACATCCGACAGTAACAGCCGACAACTGTCCAAATAGCTACCAGAGACTGGAATAGAGACAGACGTTTCGGTCTATTAGTGTGTAAGAGGGGTTAAAGTGGTTGCAAAGGGAGAGTGCCATCAGTAACACTTTTAAGAATGAAAACAGGCGTCGCGTTCGTCTACAATTAAAGAATGATATTTCGAGGCAAGAGGGGTTAAAGGGATTGGAAAAGGTATATTGCTTTAACAGCTCTGACCCCCAACCCCCTCCTTCAACCTCCTATAAATCAGGTTATTCCTCTCATTTTCCTCATTACAAATTTTAATTTTTTACCCTAAAATATCATGTGTTTGAAAGTTAAAAGGCGAGTCGTCTTTTCTTGAGACAATGCCATATATGGAAAAGACATCTATAAATCTATAGGAGAACAAATTCCTAGTTTGAGATATTTTTGAAGGAATTATGCGATTTTCGTACATTTCTAGTACTTGTGAAAGCTATTTACATATATTTAAGACTCAAATACGCCCCACCCCTCCCCCCCCTCCCACCAAAATGGCTCATGTGTCCCTTTAACCTTCTTACCTACTAATCCATACAATAGATGAACTCTCGATGTCTAGCTGATTTAAAGATATCTTAATTTTATTATTCTTTTGCCTTATAAATACCTTGCGAATTTCAGCATAACACAAATATCTCCTGTATAACAACGGTGACTTTGAAAGGACATTTTAAACAAGTGAGTCCCCTATATTTTATTTTTACCACGACTGGAAAATGAAATTGAGTTTTACGTTCAAATGTACTGTTCCTGACTGGAAAATTTTGATAATCAAATTCTTCAAGCATCTATAAGGGTCGTTTGTTTCCATAAAATCAGACATAACTCAAAAAATGTGTTTAATAACTTTACTTGGCTTCTCTGCGATTTCGACGTGATGCACCTTTCGCATTTTGTTACTGTGAGTCTTTGATATGTAACACTTGCTATTTCAACTGACCATTCCTGTCACCAAAATTATTGTGATATTCGCCATTTGCCATTTGATTTTTTGTCAACTTCTGCTTTTATGACACAAAATTGTTTTGACGGCACATCAACCGTTGTATGATTAAAACGATGGGGCGTCCTCGTGAAACCATATCCGTACTGTGGCGGCGCCAGTGGTCGATGGGGCTACAGAGGGGGCATTTGCTCCCCTACAAAAATGGCTTGCATACCCAATGTTACCACCACTTTATTATTAAGAATTAAGATGTTTTTTATACGTTTTTGTACCAAAATATGTGTCAGAATGCACCAAATCAATTCAGTTTTTCGAAAAGGTCTCCCTTTTGAAATTTGTATTACATTAAATTTCAGATAAAAAATGAATTCTACATATTTCCTCCTCGCACTTTTCGGAATTTGCTTGATAGCATTACCTGTCGCCAGATCTAGCTCCGACTCCGATGAAATTCGTAAGTGTTTTTTCTTCTTACAAATTCTGTACAATAGTACAATCGACAATCCTTACATCTGAATATATCGCAGAGCGCTTGGGGAACTTTCACGGTAGGCCGTTTGCTCATAAATTGGGGCGAATTGGGGTAAATTTGATTGGCTGTTGGAGTCAATAAACAGACGCATGTTCAAGAAGGCGGTCTTTAGACACTAACCGAAGTGGCTTTATTGCAAATAAAAGCTAATGAAAACCGAAAAGAAAGTTAATTTTGATTAGACTGTCCCATTATAATTTCAGTCGATTGTGAGATAGAATTCATCAACGAAGAGCCATCCGCAGGGGGATTAAATGACAATCTGGTCGCTTCGCCCATTCTTAAAAATACCGCAGAAGAGTGTGCCGCCTCATGCCTCCAAATTCCTACTTGTGTTACTTTCATTTTCTACAATACTCCTCTCTGTTTCGTGCTCGGTAAAGAGTTTGATAGTTCTGAATTGGTTCCGACTACGGGCGGTGAGCAAACAGTTGGTGCCGTATGTCGCAATTAAACCAGTTCGTCGCATCTCAATCAATTAAAAAGGTACACCACACCAACGAACTTTAAGAGAGAAACAGGTCATTTCAGTCCTTTGGAAATTAACAATTGAAGCCTGTTCTACCTCGCAAAATGTTTCGATATATTTAGACTTCATTGTAAATATTTTTAGGTTTAATAATTGTAAATGTTTTTGGGTTTTTGTAAATATGTATAGGTTTAATGATTGTATGAATTTGTTAATAAATGTATATGTGTTTTTCTCATGAGTCAATATTTCGTGAATAGCGATGGGAAGGGTGGAGGAGGGGGGGGGGGGGGGGGGGTGGGGATTGGGGGGGGGTCAAGTATTTTACATTATACCCGGAGGAGAAATGAGGTGTGGTGGTTAGCTGCAGTGATGATATGGGTCGGCCGTCAGAATTTTTTCGGGGATTGCATTCCCCTTCCCCCTGGGCCTGTTTCAGCAAAATTGGACTGATCTTCAACATTAACCACATCAGATGCACAATATCTCACTAAGATTGCAAATAAAAAACGTGTAAATGGTTTATTAAAATATACAATGTTTGAGCAATTAGAAAAGAAATGTCGCCAAAAATGAAATCAACCTTACAGCGGTGGATAGTGAACACGTGTTGGACATTTTTTGATATGTTCATCATTGAGGTTGGAAGACTCAAATCCATTCATCTTAAAGATTCCTCTCTGAAAGAACGAGTCCATTTTAGTGTCGACATTTTCATTATGCCCTTTCTTTTCATACTTGAAATTTGTCGTCTGAGAAACAGCGTCCATTGTTTCGTATGTTGCAGACGCCTTCCTTCCCTCCAGACAATCCACCATATTGAATTCCTTATCATAGCAGACCTGAATTTGGTGCAAATAAGTCTTGTTTTTAATATCCAGACACATAATTATTGGTTCGATGCCTGAAAAATGTTTCTTCAAACCTCGAGAGATGGTCCTGACGCTATACAACTTGGTATCTGATGGGACTATATTCAAATTCTTCATAACACGACTTATATTTATTTTCTTAAAAACATCTAAAGCTTTCTTAAAGAACAAAAATTCCGTTGCTGTGTTGTTGTCACTTACAGCACAAGTTCCATGTTTATTCCATTCGTGTCTCCACAAACTGTCTAGGCTCGAATACTTGAACAAATTCGGCCAAAGCTTTAGCAGATCGCCCATCAAAGGGTCCAGCGTTTTGAGGTTGAACTTGATGTGTCCACACGATTTTGGTTCTTTGCCATCGATACGACTTGGCCACAATCCATGGATAGTCCACCCCGCTACGTCTAATGTGTTATTGCAATATAATTTTTCTGTTTGGCCTTCAAGGCAAACTGTTTTCGGCCATGCACTTGACAAAGTAAAAAAATCAAACTCTTCAGAACTCTTGAAATTTCCAGTAAATGACTCAAGAAGATCCACCATTGAAAATTTTCCCTCATTTCCCAATCTAGGCCTAGCAATGATAATGTTGACCACAAAAACCAAAACAAGAATACTGAAAGCTGAATTTACCATTTTGTGCAGTTCGGGTAAAAGAGAAATGTAGACTCTTAAAACTATCATGCAGTCACTGAAATGAAAAATAAAATGTGAAAAAATAAGTAAAATCACTTGAAAGTGCTTTGGAAATGTGAAATCTCTTATAAACCAAGATCTCAAGAAATACGACAATCTCATTGGTTGATACAGCTCGATTTACAATTGAATTAAGAGGTTGACCAATCAAATGAATGGGACTCTAAAATCATTTTAAGCTTAGTTTTTTGTGAAATTGTCCCAAACTTAACTATCTGTAACTCTTTTCAAAATGAAAATCTGACGTGCGATCCAGTAATCAGACGCATTCTTGAAGGGATAAAACCTTAAACTGTCGCCGTTCTGTTAACGTTTGAAAAAACTGTCGCTTTTTCCTACTGAAAGTAGCACCGAAACCCCACAACTTCAACAAACCTAACGCATTTCTGTGTATGTCCGAAATAATGTCGCTTATCTCTGGTGAAAATGACACCGAAACCCCACAACTTCAATAAACCTAACGCATTTCTGTGTATGTCCGAAATAACTGTCGTTTATCTCTGGTGAAAGTGACACCGAAACCCCACAACTTCAACAAACTCGTCGCCTTTCTATGTATTTCCGAAATAACTGTCGTTTATCCCTGCCAAGGTGACACCAAAACTCTACCAACCTGCCGCTCTACTGTGTATGTCCGGTATAACTGCCGTTTATCCCTGCCAATGGAGACACCCAAACTATACAACTCTACCAACCTGCCGCTCTACTGTGTATGCCGTTTAATACAAAAACTATACCACTCTACTAACATGTTGCTCTTTTGCAGTTCTTATTTCCTTGAATGACTCATAGTGTTTCGATTATTCAGTCATACTTAATGCAAATCACGTGCACAGCTCCATTCAAGTTTACATCCATATTATAGGCCAGTTTGGGTCAATTAGTCCGAAACACTGAGGTAGGTAGGTAGATGACAAGTTAACGTTCGCTTCCAGCGGATGCTGATATCGCAAACTACCGAAACACTGACAATATTTTAGCCTTTTATAGCATTTTGACAGATGTCGGTTAGTTGATACGGGTTCTTACTTTGTGTTGACTCAAGGCACATCATGTATCATGCCCTGCCCCAGTCTCGTAGCTATTCCCTGACCCCTTGATGCTATCCGTCACCAGTGTCCCCAATACACATACAATTTTAAGAAAGCCTCTTTACAATCCCTTAAAGTCTGTGAGTCATAATTATTACCGTGTATATATTTTTTTTGATGCAAACAGTAAAATACAAAAGGCTTTATAGATGGCCTACAAGATTATCAAATTCAATCCGGAAATAATTCGAAGCAAATTAATTTTTCCTGTATTGAGTATTAATGGAGAATATTATTCATGGGCGAAAGCTGACTATGGGGTTACTCTCGGCAGCACTGGTCCTAGCATCAGAAGTGTTCTTACCTTGAGGAGAATTTCAACAAATAGCACCTAAAAGCCTTGCAGACGACAATCGAACTCGTTATCGACTGAGCTATTACATTGGTATTAGGGGTTGAAAGCCGGCAATGGGACGACTCTCGAAGGCACTGGCCGTGGCATCAGAAATGTTCTGGCCTTGAGGAGGATTCAAACCATGGCACTTTATCGCTTAGCAGACGACAATCAAACTCTAAGGTGGACTAATTTAACCTATTCCAATGACAATGGCTAGAAATGAAGATTAGGCTTATATATTATCTAATAGGCTTTATCCTAATTGGCTTGAGAAAAGCCAAGCAGTGTTTAATGAGGGAAATTTGCCTCAAATGTGAGAATTATCACTGATGAAAATTACCTCAATTATTTTGTGATATTCGTATTCCATAATAAGGTAGATCTATTAGGTATATTGGGTTTTCCATCATATTATATGTTTCCGGGTGTAATATCTAGCTAAGCCTAAGTATTTTCCCACGACTACCTGAAATCATCTCCTCTGAGGAAGGATCCCCTGGAATTATATAGGGTGACAAATACCCAGTCTTTTATGTACTTAATGCCGAAAAAAAATTGTTAGTGGACCAAAAGGCATGATTTTGATACACTTGGGATGTTAAGAATACATTGTAGTCCGTGCCTAATAATTTAGAGTTATGTCCCTTCGTAGGTGTCGTCCAATATGGCAGCCTCCAATATGAAAAAGTGAGACGTGTAACATTAATTTTAATTTTCAGTTAGAATGATCACATTGAAATAAAGTAACAATCACAGGCCGTGATCCGTTCCCATTTAAACTCTTTATCGATTGTGATTTTCGTTTTTGACATGCCTCGATAAGCAGTGTTTAGACTGAACTCTAAACGTTTGTTTTTATTTTGACAGCAACTTTCTGAAGTCTATTTATAGTTCATAACTGTCATCAGACGACAAACAATCGAATCGAGCGAGTGACTTTCCTTCGTCTGCTTGTGTGGGACTTTCATTTAACTAGCCAGGAAACGAAAGGAAGGGAGCAGATCTTCTGTTGTATATTCAAAAGCCTGCTTCTAGGATACAGCAGTGCTTCTTTAAGAGTTACAAAAAGGGAAACCCAAAGTAGGAAAAATCTAGTGATCAGTTTTAGTTAAAAATGGCAAGTCAGCAAGGTGTCAAAGGGAATCCTGCAACTACCAAGAAGTTGTTGGAAGGTCTGCAGAATGATTTGAAAACTTTGTCCTCTGAGAGTAAGAGAAAGTTCACAGAAGTCAAAGAGGTAATATTGAATTTCTATTTAGTTTGCAAGTTGCCATTGTGAAATCAAGAGTCATGCATTTGTTAGAATGTAAATTGAATATTGATGATGTCTACGAATCAGTGAATAGTTTTTTGTATTTGACACATTGGTCAGGCAGATATTTCTGAAGTTTTTCTGAACTTACAAGTTCAATGGGATGTTGATCGAAGTTGACGTCTGCTAACACTTAGATGTTATGGGTTCCATCAACCCCCACCCACTGATTGTCCAAAGACCCAAGGGGATTGTCTCTTCTGCTAATTTAGATTTTCTGCAGATTAGAGTGTACAGAACCAGGATTTATAAAAACATTTAATTATTAACACACATTTTGTTATTCAAATTAAAGAACTTAAAACTCCAGTGCCTGTGCTTTCATAACTTTAATAAGTACAAAGTTACCTTTACTGTCCAACAATTGAACACATAACATTAATGCCATACACTTGGAATTCAAGGTTTATTATGTTTTACTCTCAAATGTTCAAATGTTCATGATTCTTATTTCAGTCAGCAGAAACTGTTCAGTTAAAGCTACGCACTATTTCAGCTAAGAATGAAAATTTTATAACAGGTAAGATTCATCTATTCTTATTAAGAACACAAAATGTGAAATGACCAGTGGTTTATTCTGTGCAAGCCTCTATCATCCAGTCCCTCTTTGTCCATGTACAGCTTCAACTAAAGAAAGCCTGGACAGGTTGCTTTAAGATATCTTTGTAATTGACCAAGTCTACAGTCACATTGGGACTTCAGGCTTTGCGAAGGAAAGACAATTCTCATTTTTGCTCCCCATTTTGGGTTGAGGCTTCAATGGAGCCTGATAAATCTTGCTGTCATGTACTTCTTATGTAATTATGATTATTCTTTGACCATTTTTCAGGATTAATTCCAGCAAGCTCTGAAATAATTCAGCCATTTATCTTAGGATGTGCCACCAAGAATCCTAAAATTGTACAGCTATGTCTTGCTTCAGTTCAGAAACTCATTTCACATGAAGCCATCTCCACTGTAAGTTTACCAATTTTTTTTATTTGTTCTGTTAACATCATGCAGTGTGCAATCTGGTAATTTTTCAAGGAAAGTTGCATTAATCTCTTCTTCTTCAAGTTCTAACTGTCAAGGAGTTTGTCACATTCACTGTGTCTGAATTTGATGGTCAGTCAACCCTCAGACCTGCATCATGGTCAGGGCGGACTTTCTTCTTGCTCTTGCTGGCGGCAAACATTTTAGATAAACAATCTTCATCAGGACAACTTTTCTTAAAAAATGTGATGTTACTGTCTAAAAATTTGAGTACATGTGTATAAGTAAAGTAAACAAATTCACTTAAAGTACAGTTTGCCCTGTTGAAATTTCTTATAGTGATAAGAATTTGCCGTAAGTGTCGAATTTTGACATTCAGAAAGAAATTTGTCAAACATGCCAAGCTTATAATATTTTAAATTTCCAAAAAATATGTTTGTGCTTTTGTAGAGTGCAGCAGATTCTATCATCAATATGCTATGGTTGTTAATGGAGGGTGGTTTAGAGGAATTGAAATTATTACAAACAGCTATATTATTGATAACAACCAATTCAGTTGTACAACATGATTCATTAGCCAAGGTAAGACAGTGTCAGGGTTGTTGTTTTGTTGTATTAGCCAGTCATAACTGATACAAGCTAATAATTTAAGCCTTAGCTTTACTCTGACTATATTAGCCAAGGAAAGACAGTGTCAGGGTTGTTCTGTTTTATTTGCCAGTCATGTATGACTGTGGAGCTCTAAATTGCGAATTTGACTGTATTTACCAGCCAAGGTATTACAGTGTCAGGGTTTTTATTTTGTTGTATTTGCCAATCACGTTGACAAGAACTGTTCTGTTGATTTGCTGAATTTACCGTTCATGTCTGACTGGAGCTATGGACTGTTGATTTGGTTGTATTAGACAATCATGACTAACTAGAGCTCTAAACTGTTGATTTGATTCTGGCTTTGGGACCCTTCTTCAAAAAAGCATTTGAAATGTCTTTTTAATCAGAAAAAAAAACTAACATTATTACACACTTCTTGGTAGCAATAAACATTCACATTTAATGGCTCTCATATTAAAATTTTGTGATAATTTTGTTTATATTTTCTAGGCTCTCGTGTTGTGTTTTCGTCTCCACTTTACTAAAGATAGTACAACTATCAACACAGCAGCTGCTACTATTAAACAATTAGTTAGTATAGTATTCGATAGGGTTGTAGCTGAAGATAAACTAACCACTAATGGTGAGTAGCCATTAAATATCTGGCAGGGGTTGTAATATTGTCCTATGGGAGGAGATGTAAACTTGAAATTTTCCTCAAAAACTCAATTTTTTAGGATTTGAATCCTCCCCAAGGAAAATGAAATTATCGTCAGCAGGGTGTGTGTGCTGAAGATTCGAATTTGCCTCAAACTAAAATTCTCAAGGCAATAAATTTTGTTCTTCAGCAACTAAAATTGTCGTCTGCCGGACGAGTTGAGATGCTCTTGACAAAGCAATTACAATTGACATCTGCTGAGGCACTAGACCATAGACCCCACATTATTATTTTGTTCTGGGCTTTTTGCATTTACTTCAAAATAACAAAATATAACGTTGATTTTTCTTCAGAGCCTTTAGTTGAGATGGATACCACGGAATTAAAAGCTGGAAGTAAAACTCCACCCAAATCTTTAAAACCATGTGCTGGGGATGCTTATTTATTGTTCCAGGTGAGACAAATTGATTTTCGGAAAACCTTAAATTCTTGTGCCCCATCCTCAAAAAATCTTATGCTAAGATTTTGACCCTGGTGTGGAATTTTACATTTTGCAAATCCAGACCTGGGACAGTCACAAGAATATCAACCAATCAGATTTCTTTATGATTCTCATAGATATCTGATTGGTTGATATTGTCACTGCAAGAACATCATCCAATCAGAATTCTTTTGAGTAGCTGTTGACATTAATAGATATTGTCAAATTAATGAAATGTTTTTTTAACTTTTGTAGGACTTATGTCAGCTGGTGAATGCCGATCAGCCATTTTGGTTGCTAGGGATGACAGAAATGACAAGAACGTTTGGTTTAGAGTTATTAGAATCTGTTTTAAAAACGTATTCTTCAGTTTTTACCAAGGTAAGCAGATATCTCAGACGTAGCTTTATTCAAGGGAGGTAACAATTGGGAGAGTTCTATTTTTACTGCTTTCCACAAGAGGTGTCAGAAAAGTTACCACAGGGATAACTGGCTTGTGGCAGCCAAGCGTTCTTAGCGACGTTGCTTTTTGATCCTTTGATCTTGGCTCTTCCTATCATTGCGAAGCAGAATTCGCCAAGCGTTGGATTGTTCACTCACCAACAGGGAACGTGAGCTGGGTTTAGACCGTCGTGAGACAGGTTAGTTTTACCCTACTGGTAGGGAACTCTTGGTGATCGTTTAAAAATCAAAAGGGGACATAAATTTTGATTTGATGGTCCCAATTGCAATGGGTTACCATTGACTGTATAATTGCGAATATACTACTCACTTTTTCACCCTCCAGTGTCCAGAGTATAGTGTTATGTTTAAGAGAGATTGTGAAGTTTTATATATACCCTATAACTGTGAATATAAGGCGCACCCTTCTTACCTTCGATTAATTTTATTTTTTCAGTATCCTGAGTTTAGCTTTATGTTAAAAGAACGAGTCTGCCCTCTAGTGATCAAGTTATTTTCTCCCAGTTTAAAATATCGACAAGGAGCTCCACCTCAACCATCTCCAGCTCCTGTAGAGAAGCCATTTTTTCCTATAGTGATGAGACTACTTCGTATAATTTCTATTTTGATTAAATATTATTATCAATTATTGGTAAGTTGGATTATTTTTTCGTTGATGTGATTAATAATCTTGAGATTACACAATGTTTCATCAAAAAAGTTTTGATATTTTCTGGGGGTGAAACAAATTACAAAAGGTGGAAGGAATTTTGTTGTTGTCTTGTTTTTTTGTTTGTTTTTATGCCAACATAATTATGTAGAATGTCTTCTGAAGAGGGGCTGTAGCTCGTTCAGTGAGAGCATTGGAATCATGACTTCATATGCTTGGTATGATCGAACAATGCTGGTCATTGGTTCTAATCTGAATTGGCGTATGGAACTTAGAGTGAACATCATCTTTCTTCATTATTCAGGTTCTATTCAGTTGCATAAATAGATCAGCTGGTAGACTGAATCCTCGTGAACCTAAGATGTTAACCTCGTAAAAAAACTGTTATGTCTCTGGTAAATGATTGAGCAGATGCAGTTTAGCCAATTTGGTACTTACAGCTCTCGACACATCTACTGTCCGTATATTGAACCCTTCATGACTATGTTATGTTATTATATTCTAGGTAACAGAATGTGAGATATTTCTGTCGTTATTGGTCAAATTTTTAGATCCAGAGAAACCACTCTGGCAGAGATGTCTAGCTTTAGAAGTTTTACATAAACTCAGCGTTGATCCACTATTAGTCAAGTAAGTCTAAGTAATTGCAAAAAAGTCTCAAAATTTTGAAGTTGGTTACTGTAAGTGTAATTTAGTCCCAATTATAATAGGCATAGATTTGGAATTCCAGGTAACTTGAATCTGAAATGACGTCTGTTAAAGGGATTGTAAAGAGGTTTTCTAAACTCTTTTTTGTGTATCAGGGATACTGATAGCATCAATTTTCTCCATTCTAAGTTTCAAACAGATGTCTGTGGTTCCTGCAATTCCATACATTCAAAAACCAAAGTAACATTGATGAGGAAAAATTTACATCGTAGGCATCATGATTTTGACTTGCATTGATTGGATACCAATGAATTTCAATACAATAAATCGAGTAAGATTTGAAAATTATAGCTTGGAATACCAACACGTTCCCATGACTGAGTTCTTCTTCAATACATTCACCCTGACCTTATACTTTTTTTAACCAGCATTTTGTAAATTTCCAGATCGTTTGTAGTTAGTTATGACATGAAACCACATTCTACCAAAATATTTCGTGACATTGTGAACTCCCTAGGAGCATTCGTTCAGTCTCAGTTTATGAACCCTCCAGGTGGACCAGCTGCTCAGAGTGGTGAGAATTTATATCATACTTAATAAAACGTTTTAGCTATGTGAATGCTCTAAAAGGGATCCCAGTCGATAAGTGACATTGTGTGTTTCAGAAAGGTTAGCAAAAGAATCATTTATTGGAGGTCACCTTACTTTCTGAACTGACATAGTTAAGAACCCTGGACCATCTTTTGTTTGATGTAACCAAGCAAATGACGTCTTTCCAATGCTCCAGTCGACTGTGTGACTGTCTGTCTCAGGATTCGAACCTTGATCTCTTAATACTTCTAGCTGATGTGATGATTTACCCTTATTGCACACTGCATTGTCATGTCTGAACATTAGGAGGTAAGTCTTCCGTTCATTTCACTTTGAGTCACTTTTCAAAATATATTTCTTCTTACTGTAGGAACTAAGGTCCCAGATACTCAGGGCACACCCCCTGCTATGGTTGCCGGGTTACCAGTAGGAGGCGGAGTCAGTCCTCAGCCAGCGTTTATGTATCGTGGTGTCTGGATTCCATTGGTTATATCTGTTCCTCAAGGACAAACCAGACCATTATTGTAAGTATTAGTTAATGCTTATTCTTGATTGGCTGAGAGTTTGATGAATTGCAGAATAACAGGATGTTTCCTTTGGTTTTGGAAAGGGATACAGATGCCTGAATTTGAGATCTTTCAGTAAAGCAAACAATTCAACAATTTCATCCTTCAAGAAGTCATGTAGGAAACATATAGATATAGATTATTCTAGATTTTGTATCTATTGAATTAAAAGAAATATATTATGCATGCGCGTAGTATTCGCAATTATAGGGTATCCAATCTTTTTCATTATAGTTTAGAGATGTTAGATAAAATTGAGCCACCTACAGTAGTAGATGGATATGGTGTGTCTGTAGCCTTCTATTGTCTACTGGAACTAGGAAAGAGCGTACAGATTCTCGTGTGTGGAGAAACAGAAGAGTCCAAATCAGGGGAGAAAACTCAACAAGAAGCTAAAGAATTGGAAAATACAGGTACGAATGATTGAAACCCTTGTCTAAATGCTTGGTGAATATAAAAACCAGTCTCTTTTAATAGACTGAGAGTATACTTGGTATATATCTTACATCTTTGATTGATCTAAGGAATACATGTAGCCATGCAGTGTGCAATGAGGGAAATATTAGTGAAATTATTTTACAATCAGACAGTTGAGGACGTGGTTATGAAATGGAGATTTTTTTTGGTGCATTTATACTCAGTTTTGATCTTATAGATTGTGAACCATGCAGTGTGCAATGCGGGAAACTTTGGCTGGACAGCAAGACAGATCTGTTGAGGAGTCCCTATCATGTACAATTTGTAGAACAAGTAGCCATGTTTTATTGTGCCAGCCTCTCTAATGTTAAATGTGAAATGTTCCTGTGTTTTTTGTAGATAATAGAGATCGGCAGATGGAGGAAAGTTTGATAGATTCATCATGGTGTGGAATGTTAGCTGCTCTTTCATTGCTACTGGATGCTAGGTGGGTATCTTATTGGGGTCCCTAAATGATAATCTTGAGGGTCACGAGTCGGCTCCAACATCCTGGATCAAGACGACAAAATAAAGTCCATCACTAAATTTTAATTGGGCTACGTTTTTTTTTTGACTGAAAAGTTTCGTGAAATTAGAGTGCTTTGAAAGTAACATCGTGAAGATCTCTCACCAAGATTTGAAATGTTGAAATGAAGGAGCTATTCTAGAAGTGCCTTAGATATGGTTGGCAGCTTTTGCAAAAACGACAGACATCTGACTGATAATCGGAATAGTGTAATTTGATGTTGTCAGTGTCTTCAATACACATGTAAAGTTTAAAAAACCTTTACACAATCTTTTAGATTCATGGCTTGATATAGCATGGTGTAAAATAGCTAGCACTAATACCTGTGAGCTAAAATTGTTTGTGGTCTGAGTCCAAAAAGTCTTCTTTCACTTTCACCTTCTATTTTTAGTACTGATGAAGCAGCTACAGAGTCCATACTGAAATGTCAGGAAACCTACGCTAGCTTCTGTGGACAGCTGAGTTTAAACGTTCCCAGAGATGCTTTCATTACGGCGCTGTGTAAGGGTTCCTTACCTCCTCACTACACCTTGACAGTTCTTAACACCAACCCTGCTATACCTACTGGACAAAAATGTAAGTATATTGAAAGAGTTTGATCATGATATTCAACAAATATTTAGGTGAGGGTAGTGTCATTTGATGATTCTTTGATATTGGACAAGGTTTTTGAAAATATTAAAAGAGTTTAATAATGAGATTAAAAAGCATTTAGGCAAAGGCAAAGATATGAGTGATATTGTTAAACTGTTCATTGGTGGACAGAAATTAAAGTATATTAAATGGAAGAGTTTAATATTGTTATTTAGCAAGTATTTAGGCAAGGAGGATTACAATTGATGACATTATAAATTCAAGCAAGGACCCCCCTCTTCTTTTTCAGTGAGTCTCACTCGGTCCACAAGTCAAGATCTTCAGACAGCTGGAACTGAGGCCATGGAAAAAAGTCATGTGGTTGCCGTGGGAACAGCTCTTCCAACTGCCTCCCTACCAGCAGGCGCACATCAAGGCCCAGTCATGGTATGATTTGCCTTTTATCCCAGAATATATCGGTAACATGTTCCAATGATGAAATAGTTTCTCAAAGTTCTAGCAATTTATAAACACATTCGTCATTATTATCAAGAAATGGATATCATGACATGCTTTGATTGGTTAAAATTTACATCATTAGAACGCGACTGTGGAAGAAAACTTGTGAGATTACAAAAACTTGTGAGACAAAATGTATACCCATGGAATAAGTTTTATAGTAGAGAGTCACTCATTTGATATTCTGAAGAATTTAGATTTTTGATACATATCCAGCCTCTTCGATTTGAAATTTAAATTTTCTAAATACACTGCAGTACCTGTTCTGTACATTAGAAAATAACATTGTTCTGAAAAATTGATAGTATTTAATAGTTGCCTCCCTTTAACTGGTTTTAGCATCATTCACCTCATCATACTTGCATGTTGTATTTGCCAGTCATGTCTGTTTAGAGTGTCAAAATGTCTTGCTGCAATTTTGGTTTTTCAATCAACTGACCAACTTTTTCTTCCATGAAGTTCTCTAACCAAGGAGATATTGGACAATATTTTCTTATTTGTTGTTTCAGTTAACGGCAAAGAATATCCAGTGTATGCGAGCGTTGTTAAGTCTAGCTCATTGCCATGGTGATATATTGGGAACGGCATGGCATCTAGTTTTAACGACTTTACAGGTAAGTGCCAAATTTGAATTCCATGTCACATGTGCTGGGGGGTCACAGGTCAACATAGCAGCTGGAGGGTGTGGGCTTTGGAGGGAATTTGATGCAACTAGATTTTCAACGACAGCTGAAACTGAAAATTGCAGTTCCCATCAGTCAGCCATTTTGATTTTGCTTATGCAATACTTGTTTGTTTTTTAGTATCAAATTTTGGGTTTCAAAGTCAGCCATTTTGAAATATTTCTATGCGCTTCTTGGTTTTTTTTCAGCATTTAAACGTGATCTTTAGTTTAAAAGTCAGCCATTTTTAATTTGCTTTTTTTTTTCAGCATTTGGTGTGGATTTTGGGTTTGAAACCATCAAGTGGAGGTAGTTTAAAAGTCAGTCAACTGAACGAGTCGTCAAGTACCGTAATAACCACAGCTGTCATGGCCGACCTACAAGTCTTGTCTGCTATGTTATCTAGATTATTTGAAAGTTCCCAGTAAGTAGACTACAGTATAATTGCACCATTTCTTACTGTCGAGTAAATATATTTACTATTAAATAAACCTACAGTAAAATTTCGAATATAGTTTATAATACGTACCCCTTTCTTGCCTTCACGATAAGTCTTTTTTCAAATTTTTGTCCTGTAAAGATGTAATGTACCTACCATTTAAAATTCTTAAAACTTGAGAAAGAAATGATCATTGTTTAAGGTTCATAAAGTCTCTGTCTACCAGCTGGTTCTTGGACAAACCTCTTATCAACCATTCATCTTTTACAATTGAGAAGGGGCTGATGAGGCGATAAAGCAGGGAATGTTTGCTATAGACTGTGCACGTTAAAGATCCCTCTACAGTTGGAAATCAAAAAAGAGTTTTTTTCTAGCAAAATTCCTTCATTCCCCACTGCATAGTGTTGCTCAATAAGGTGCAATGAGTAGGACATAACTACATCTTCTTTCCATTGAAGGAATTTTGATAAAAAAAAAAAATTGTTCACAAGAAAAGGGCAATGGATCTCTTGATGTCCATATTTGTTGTAAATTTCAGATATTTAGATGACGTAGCCTTGCACCATTTAATAGATGCTTTATGTAAGTTATCCACAGAATCAATGGAGCTGGCATATTCTAACAGAGTAAGTTGGTTTATTTCAATTTCAGTCTGGGGAAAAACAAGGCCTTTTTTCTCAAAAACTTAATTACGATAAACGCTTTTCTGATTGGTTAAAAAAAACTAAATACAATAAACACTTTTCTGATTGGTTAAAAAAAACTAAATACAATAAACACTTTTCTGATTGGTTAAAAAAAACTAAATACAATAAACGCTTTTCTGATTGGTTAAAAAACTAAATAACAATAAACACTTTTCTGATTGGTTAAAAAACTAAATTTAAAAAAAAAAATTTGTGATTGACCAATCAAATAACTAGAAATTAAATCTGCAATTAAGTTTTTGTAAAACTGGTCGGTCTGGTAACTATTTGTTTTACCAGTCATGTCTGACTAGAAATGGAAAATATTGCTTTTGTTTGGTCACACATTTGGCTTCGATATATCATGAAATAAAAACATGGTGTGGCTTAGTGAGAAACCTTCCAAGACCATTGATCTGGGTTAAGATTATTTTTAAATTTTTTGTGGATTATTATCAAAACAACATGCAAAAAAACAACAGAAAGACTTGATGCTTATGCTACAGGCTGTGCACATTATAAATCCCTTCACAAGTGAGCAGTGCTGCTGACCTGACAAAATTTACCTCAATGTACACTGCTTGGCATTGCTCTACAGTTTGGAATCAGAATGTATTGGTATTAGGCTGGTGACATGGCAAAATTTCCCCATTGCTCACTGCTGGCCTTTGCTTTATCTGTAGCATATCTCAATACAGTTGGAAATCGAAATTAAGTAATCTTAGGCTGGTGGTATTGCTCACTGCTTTACACTTGGCCAAATTTCCCTCATTGTACACTGCAGGGGTATATTTCCATCTTCCTTATCTCAAGCAATACCTGTTATGGAAATTTATTATTGTTTTCATGCTAAAAACTCAAAAAGAATACAATTTTTGAGTTCTACCTTTGTAGAAAATAACTTGATTGACACTATTTTAATGAGGTAAAAAGCAAATCGGCCATTTTTCTCTTTTCTTGCCCACACCTTGTTACACTTAGATTTTAAAATTGAAAATAACGAGATTTAGATTGACCAAGATAATTTCACCATATTGGTTTTTTGAAATTTGATCGCGTGAAATATGTTTTTTCAATTATAAATTTAAAAGAGTTAAAGGGGAACGGTCTGCATTTAGGGGGATTGATTTGTGTCTTAATGTGCTTTAATAGTCTTAAGAATTACTAAACGCACGAAAATCACATAATTCCTTCAAATATACCTCAAACTAGAAATTTCACTGTCTATTTCTATATATGTGTTTTCTATATATGGCATAGTCTCACTAAAATTTGAGTCGAGTTTTTAACTTTCAAACGTGAATAATTATGGATACACATGGATTTGAAGGTTAAATGGTTCCTTGCCATGGCGATGATTTGCCAACAAGGAATAATTTCAAAACAGATCGCGATAAACTTTATACCTTATACATTGGATTTTTCAACCTGGTTTTCCCCTGTCGGTGATGTAAGGAAGAGGGGCTGGCATTGGTCTGGGTTTTGTTTGGTATATGTCATCCTCAGCTGATATTTAACTTCTCCAGAGATCATTTTGACTATTTTACCTCTAAGTCTGGGTGATCTTGGCTTTGTTGGTTTGACATCACGACTAACTTCTGAGTTCTTCTATAATTTAGATTTTATGAATCTTGTTGATTTGTTAAATTGTTTATTGGACAGACGTAAAATCGGTGAGGCAGACCTCAATGATAGAGGTGTGCACATTTAATGAAAATATTGTTATCAGAGCCCTGTTTCACAAAATCTTGACGGTCAATTTCCATTTCAAATGCCGAAATGAGGGCAAAAAACAAAAACAATGAGGACAAATGATTTATTGTGGTCAACAGATTGTCAATGCGCTGATCAAGATAAGAACCCAAGCCAACTATTTTCAGCTGCAACCAAGCAAATACTATCACTCTAACAGGTTGTTCCAAGCATCTTTCAGATTTTTGGTGGATTTAAATTTAAAATATTTTAACTTGTAAGAGCAAACCAAGTAAGATCACTGGATTCTCAAGTCATTTGCTTGGTCACGTTGAGCGAATGGTGGTCTTGGGTTCTAATCTCCATCAGCATCTCAAAGCATAGTGATGAAATAGCCTTTCCTTGATATTCTAGTCAACATAGCTGTAAAGGGGTATGGATATTACAGAAAAGACCAATGCCAAGGACTAGTTAGTCAATTTTTGATTGATGGACAAGTCAAATTTACAATATTTGAATTTGTAAGAGTAAACCATGCAAGGACTTTGAATTCTTGAATCTTAGTGCAGATGTTTCCAAAACATCGCACACCTCTATGCTAAAAAGAATTTGAAGTATTTGGTAGGTATATAACAATGTCTGTCAATAGGAGATGAATAATCAGAATTAATTATTAATATTTGGTAGTCGAGACTGATATCAAACCATTGTGGTGGTAAATCTTACATTCTATTATTACATTAGGTATAGGTCATCAAGTCACAATCTAAATATCCAAAACAGACTCACGTGACTTAATCAAGTCATGAACCTTAAAGGGATTGTAAAGAGGTTTTCTAAATATCTAAAACAGACTCATGTGACTTAATCAAGTCATGAACCTTAAAGGGATTGTAAAGAGGTTTTCTAAATATCTAAAACAGACTCACGTGACTTAATCAAGTCATGAACCTTAAAGGGATTGTAAAGAGGTTTTCTAAATATCCAAAACATACTGACGTGACTTAATCAAGTCATGAACCTTAAAG